GAGGAGGTGGAGGAGGCAGAGGAGGTGGAGGAGGCAGAGGAGGTAGAGGAGGGAGCGGAGGGAGCGAGTTGGGAAGAGTGGTGACCTTGGACGCGGGAGCAGGGACGAGTGGAAATGCCAGCCAGTACATTACGGGTGTATTAATTGTTTTTATAGCTATTTTTGCATTTTAATATTAAATATTGTACATTACGTTTCAACAAAACTACCATTTATTTCTGAGAACATGGAAATATAATATTTTTGCTGAAATGATGTACGTATTACAGTGGAAAGTGGGATAAAATTGTGACGAAAGTAATGACTTTCTCTTTCTTTCGTTCAAAAGATGTTATCGTAATCGCTTTTCAAATGGTTTTCAGTTGTGGGATTATATGGCTAATGATGGGATAGAATATTATTGTAATACAGTACGAGTACAACAGTTTTTTAACTGAAAACCATTCGAAAAGCGATTACGGTAAAATCTTTTGAATAACGAAAAAAGCGAAAGTCATTGTTTTCGTCTTTCCACTGTAATATGTACGTCATTCCAGCAAAAATATTATATTTCCATATTTATTTCTGAAAATACCTATATTCATTCAGTCACAGTTAAGGTAAAATATACTTGTGATGTAATATTTTAATGAAAATACCAGGCATTTAGAAATACGGTATCGTAGTTTTCTTTTGTTTCAAATTTAATTAACAAAGATTGATGTTTCAAATGTAATGAACAAAAATTTATGTACAGTATCTATAAATAAACTTTAAAAAATGAATACTTTATGTTTTACATCGTCCTGTGCATACCATACCATGCATTTGGCTACTTTGGGCTTGCTATGATGACGCAAGAGATCTGCCCTAGCAACTGTACCGACACTCACAGCTGGTGGTGTGTTGGTGCATCGTTTCCATTGTTTACTAGTAGTTACTGGTAAATATTTTTCAACCTAACGAAACTATTACCCATTTAGAGGTCGACCCCCAATTTTTTGCCAAATAATTTGGTCTTAAAAACTTGAACTATATATATATTGTAAATAAGGACATGGGGGGCCAGGGTTTTTTTACGGGGGGCGGGCGGGCGCAAAAGTACACGGATTTTTAACATTCACGGGTTTCTCTGTTACCTAACCCCGCGTATGTTAAGGGCCGACTGTAATTTTCGGTGAGGTGGAACCAATTACCCAAAATCCCATTGAAACAATGTTTTCGGTTAACGAAATTTTCGGTTAAAGAATGACCTTCTGGAACGAATTGTGTTCGTTAACCGAGGGACCACTATATAACCTTTTTCTTCTCTATTTTCAATTTCTTTGTTCTTTTTTTTTTGAGCCCGTTGTGGGTGGGCTAATTCCCATAAAAAAAAAAATCTCCTGTAAGCACATTTGATTAAAAAAACTACAATACTGTACTACAGTAATATATTTCATCAATTACTATTTTTAATACATTACATTACATATCAGCTAGGATGCTGCAAAATGCACCAACTGACACTCCAGTTACCAATATTTAGAGCATAGATTTATATCATGGGTTTTATTGAAAATCAGTAATTTAAGATTTTTTTTTCACATTATGCTTTTAATCGCCCATTAAGGAGATCAACCTGCCACGTCAATTTGATACAGTTTATTTCGGTCAAACCTGTCAAATACAAATAATCAATTTACAAGAGGGAACTGAAGGTTCAATGACATATCATATATGAATACATTTACCTAATACAGTAGTACCCCGATTTACGCGATTTACGTGGTCAATTGAACCCACAGGGTACGCGGAAAGTGAAAACAGAGTAAAGTGAACAACAGAACATATGGGATTAATTCCAATAGAGACTGGCCCGACCCCCAAACTCCACTTTTTCCGACACAATACCTACGTTGTAGTAAAAATAACATCTTAATTTTTTGATGGTATGCTCACACAATTAATATTTAAGAGAAATACAGTCGCCAGGTTAATGTCCATTCAAATAATGGACTCAAATCCCCCTCTTCCCAGCTCACTAGCTCCTACCTCTCTTGAGAAATGTTTGGGTGAAACCACTAAATTTTAACGTTTAGTAATAAATAATACCTCAGACTAAAGTTAGGATAATATAATTGACATTTCTGGATTCCTTGCAGGTCCGGGAATATTTTGAATGTAAACTTCATATATTTAGCACAAAAGATAAAATATTTGTTTTGTGTAAACCAAATTATTACATTAGATCTAAAATTTGTATGTCTAATGCAAAATCCATGATGTTTATATTCAAAATGATCATCATATTGTAAGAATTCCAGCAATGTAAATTATATTCTGGCCGGGTAATTTGTATGAATTTTATGAGCTAAAACAAATATCTTCAGGTAATAAAAAAATAAAAATATTCTTCACGACACTATCTGTCAATCAAAGTACCCCACCTTGCCTCCCCCCCTCCTCACACTCACGCCAGCTGGGTCGGTCGGTCCCAACCTTCCCCCCCCCACCCCCCACCTTCCTTCCCTACCAGAGAAATGTTTGGGTGAAAAAAGTAGATTTTAACTTTTAGTAATAAATAATACCTCAGACTAAAGTTAGGATAATATAATTGACATTTCTGGATTCCTTGCAGGTCAGGGAATATTTTGAATGTAAACTTCATATATTTAGCACAAAAGATAAAATATTTGCTTTGTGTAAACCAAATTATTACATTAGATCTAAAATTTGTATGTCTAATGCAAAATCCATGATGTTTATATTCAAAATGATCATCATATTGTAAGAATTCCAGCAATGTAAATTATATTCTGGCCGGGTAATTTGTATGAATTTTATGAGCTAAAACAAATATCTTCAGGTAATAAAAAAAAAAAAATATTCTTCACGACACTATCTGTCAATCAAAGTACCCCACCTTGCCTCCCCCCCTCCTCACACTCACGCCAGCTGGGTCGGTCGGTCCCAACCTTCCCCCCCCCACCCTCCACCTTCCCTCCCTACCAGAGAAATGTTTGGGTGAAAAAACTAGATTTTAACTTTAAGTAATAAATAATACCTCAGACTAAAGTTAGGATAATATAATTGACATTTCTGGATTCCTTGCAGGTCAGGGAATATTTTGAATGTAAACTTCATATATTTAGCACAAAAGATAAAATATTTGCTTTGTGTAAACCAAATTATTACATTAGATCTAAAATTTGTATGTCTAATGCAAAATCCATGATGTTTATATTCAAAATGATCATCATATTGTAAGAATTCCAGCAATGTAAATTATATTCTGGCCGAGTAATTTGTATGAATTTTATGAGCTAAAAAAAAAAAAATTATGAGTAGATGCACCGCGGAAAGTGAAAGTCCGGTTCTGGCAAGGGACTGCGTAAATGAGAAATGAGAAATCGCGGAAAGTGAAACCGTGTAAAGCGGGGTAATACTGTATAACATTATCTTAATAGTAACACAACATAAGCTGCATATCATCAGAAGTTATTCAATTAATATTCTTCACATCCACAGTGAAACACAATATTTTCACACTTACGTGTTCAGGTTTGGCTTGGACCAGACAGCCTCTAGTGTATTTAGGGCAATCAGCTGAGAGGTACTGCTGTAAGTTATCATCCATGGGCCCGGGAAAACATCAAGTCAATTCAGAATATACACGCCTTGCTCCTCATTATGACACGGGCTGACTCACCATCACCTCCTCGCTTAGTACACAACAACACTTTTCTCATTACTCTTATCACTTTCCTATAATTACCCTCACCACTCTTATCACTCTCCTAGATTACAGCTGTCCAGTGGTAAAAGTGCTTATAGGAAATATTAATGTGTTTAACAAACAAACATTTACATACCGGTATGTTGGGTGTGTTGTTTGGTTTTGTACTGTAAACATTGTCAGCCAAGCTGAGTCTACCGGGGACAAACTAGGCAGCCTGTGGCAGCCTCCCTTGGTATGGTTGGCCAATAAGAATGGTGCATGGTGGAGCGAGTGATAAGAGTGACACTACCCAGGCAGCATGTAAACTCATGTAACTTGTGCCATATGTTAAAACAAAGACAGCAACAGAAAATATTTCTCCATGTCAGAATATGAGATATATTTCTGGAAGAGTACAGGAACACATTCTGAATTCCAGTTATCAAAAATTTCCGATACACAGGACTCTGTTACTGAAAGATGTTACACTACTGGACAAAGTGCCAGCTGTGGTTTGATGAGACAGTATAGGGAATTTACTTAGAACAGCATGAGACCCCAGGGGCAGAACACCTCATCAAGATCACCCTCTCCGACTTCATCCACATCTACGAGCAACTAGGGCACGACGAAGAGCAGGACCTAAAGACACTAGGGAATGGACACTCGAAGAGAGCAAGAGGAGGAGGAAAAGAAGATCATCAACTTCAAACTAACAAGAAGACCAAGATATTTCCACCAAACAAGAAAACACCACACCCAATCAAGCCGACCAAGTACTGAGAAACCATTGCCCAACCTGACACGCACCTGATGTTTGACCTGACGCTCACCTGACTCAGGGTCCTGCCCCCTCCTCGCCGCATCCAGGCAAGTTGCTGCTGCCTCAAACTTGACCCCATCCCCTGTCACTAGCCTTTCAGTCAGTCAGACAGGAAGGAGGAGGTCAAGAAGGAGGTGGAATGATAAAGGAAGGGAGGTGCTGAATACAAGGGGCAAGGGTATCCAGGAAGACCCAGAATGCATGCATGATTGAGGAACATTATGTAGAGAGGTTTATAAGATGAACATGCTGTTCATGAGTGATGATGGATTCCATAAAGCAAGAGAGGGCCATGTAGCAGTAGGGAAAACACCAGAACAAAACACATCTGTTATACCAGTTAAAGAGTGGGAGAGTCTGAACTGCTCTTCATTCCAGCCACACTGTACCATTCATTAAAAGGTTTTCAGAGTAAAGAAGAACACTGCAACAATTAATGCATTGTTTAGCATCTCTTGACGTATTATAGTGCATAAAACATGGGAGAGTAAAACTTACTTTTTTTGTCCTAATTTTAGTCGCTAGTGCAGTTGCAGACTCCAGGAGTATGAGATTAGTGATCGGTGGTAGTGTAGTGTGAGGGTCGCCATGGTACATAATCCCAAAGATGAGACGTGAGACAGCCTCAAAGACCAGCCGCACAGAGCGCAGGATCAAATCAATCCACAACATTCTGTCAACTGAGACATTAAAATTTTAATGTACCTGTACTTCATACTCTACAGAACAGTATCATATAAATCAAATGTACCATAAATTTTCAAAGACAATCCCAAGCCTGAGGAAGAAAAGTGCATAACAATTACCAAGGAAAAAAAATGTGAGAGAATTAATGACAATACTGTACAGCAATAACAAAATTATGTTGGATAAAAAAATGCCCCCAGAAGTTTTGCTAACACCTCCAGAACAGGTACCATATTTGCGGCATATAAGACACGCCCATTTCAACAGAGAATATTTCGGAGCAAACTTTTTAGTGTATTTAAGAATTTAATGTTGGTGGTGGTCCATAAACCCATTCTGCAGCTGTTACCATGCTCTTTTGCATAATTTATCATCTTTAGTTTCAGCTAATAGTATAACTTGATCTTTTCCCTCCTGTGGCCATAGTGTCCATAAAATGAGGGTAAAATACCATATACAGTAAAGACTCCAATAACAACAGTTCGACCAACAACTTTTCATATCTAAAAACCGTAAAAAAAAAATTAAGAGGGCATTGTGCAAAGAAGCTGCCTTGCTAATGAGTGGTAAACAACACTCTGAGCTTGGCCGGCCTTTTGTTTTCACGCATCTGGAATAGGAACTGGAGAAAAACTTTCTCAGGTTTCCTACAGCATTTTTGCATCCCTATTCAGCATGAGCAAGAGAGCAAGTGATGGTAGTGTTGTTTCAAAAGCTAATAGAAAGTGTATAAGCTTAGCCGAGAAACAAAATGTGTTAAAACGATATGAAAAAGGTGAGAGGTCTGTGGATATTATATGGAGCAAGCAATGAACATATTTTCTGAAGTGGATCCATTAACAGAACAAAGCATTAAAATTTAAATAAACACGAATGACATTCTACATAAAGATGTATAATGAGAAAAGAAAGCAGCTGTGCAAGGTTCTTTCGACAGCTTTATTATTCGAAGGCCTAAACCATCAACTTCAGCATCATAAGCAGCTTCAACATCAATTTCAGGTTCAGTAACAGCTTTATGGAAAGCTACAGCTTCAGCAAAAGTTGAACCTACAGCTTCAGCCAGAGATGAACTTACAGCTTCAGCCAGAGTTGAACCCGATGACTTCGTCACCTGAGTAAAAACTCGCACAATATTCATTGGCTGTCCTTATGTTTTAGACTTTACCACCATTGGTGAGTAGAATTTTTGTTTTATATTCGTAAATATTATTTAAAACATATATGAACAGTAAATGTGTTGCTTCTCATGTTCATATGTTGAGAAATGACGATATATTTTCACATGTACGCACTTACTGTTCATACGTTGGCTTTCCCAATCGTCTCACTTTATTTCTTTACCATTAGTGGTTACCGGTAGCTACTTCCAGTGTTCCATTTATTAACATTAAATAACATTACTTAAAATATACATACAGGTATTCATTTTTTTTAATTAAGTTCACTACAGCTACAACCAGGGTTTTATTTTCTCCAGTTTCTAATGTAGAACCATCATCACTCACGAAAACAGAGCCGTCTTGTCTCCTCATGTGTTTTAATACTCTAAGTATTATTAATGAATTGTATTCTTCATTTCGCATATATAAAGATTAATTCAATCAAATACATATTCAGTAATAAACAATAATGAATCTTTTGTACATATTCTTAAAAAGATAAATGACGCGGTATCCTAAAATGCGCACGTATATGTTGGCATTCCCAATCCATCTCTTTTTTTTTGTCTTTACCATTAGTGGTTAGATACTTCTATTGTTCCATTTATTAGCATTAAATAACATTTCTTAAAACTATACAGGGGTCCCTCGATTAACGAACGGTTTAATTAACGAAATTTCGGATAACGAATTAGTTCTCATAAGGATTTTCAGTTCCATTAACGAACAAAACTTTGATTAACGTAATCCTTACGACAAACACGCTTTGTTGTGTCCATCAGCTGATTGGCTAGTCCGCCAATACAGTAATCGGTTCTATGTTTACATTCGTTTCCAGTGGAGTAAATATAAAGAAAGTTGCGTTCTTGAATACTTTGGCATTTTTTATATTAAAATTATTGGTCATTCTAAAATTTAGCCATCCATATAGGTAACTTTATTCATTTATTTTTACTCATTTACATGCACACACTGTCCTAAGGGCAAAGCTGTACTGTACATGTACTCAAAATAATGTACAAAATGATAACTAAGATTTTTGTCTTGTGCAAACTATAGCTTGTTTATATTCAAATTAATCACTCTCTTATAAGAATTCCAGCAATGTTAATTATATTCTCCCCGGTCACTTCTGTGACATTTTATAAGCAAAAAACAAAAACTCAATATAAATTACATAAATAAACAAATAAATACTTCACTATACCTTCAGCACTAACTGTCAAACATGTCACAGTCACCCCTCCCTCCCAGCCAGGGTTTGGTGGTTATACAATAGGCCTTAAGTTTTTATCTTATATAATGTCACAGACTAGAGTTAGGAGAATATAATTTGCATTGCTGGAATCCTTGCAAGACAGTGAATAATTTGAATATAAACGTCATATATTTTACACGAGATAAAAATTAATCACCTGTATCACATTGCAGTAGTGATTTAAGAGTTCTAGTGTATATATACGTATATGTATAGTGATTTAAGGGCAATTTAGGGGAATTTCAGTTGTGTTTCTGACTTTATACATTTTTGGCTTTACTTTGTATGTACTTTTCTGTGAGTTGGAACCAATTACCCAATATCCCATTGAAATAATAGATTCAGTTAACAAAATTTTCGGTTAATGAACGACTCTGTGGAACCATTTGTATTCGTTAATCGAGGGACCACTGTATACTCATTTTTTTACATTAATTTTACTACAGCTACAACCAGGGTCTTATTTTCTTCATTTTCACGTGTAGAACTATCGTCCCAGACTCCCAGCTGTAAACACAAACGAAAACAATGGCGTCCCATCTCCTAGTGTGACCATATTATTATTCATTTAATTGTACAAGGTGCATTCAGAAACATTATTTAAAGAATATAGTTAGCAATTTTCATTAATTGTATTGTTTTGGGGGGAAAAGAGGGTAAAAAGCCGCACAAAAGATATGAAAAGGTCACACTTGGGAATGCATCTCATTATTATTGCTTTACTTTAATGGTAATTAATGATTCATGATAAGATGATTCACCTTACACTGCAATATTGGAGGACACATTACCGTCGGTATTCGAGGCTTTACTGTACTGTATTCAACATGTTACCACCGTCCTTGTTGATAAGTTACAGTTGACCCTCGTTAAAACAGACCCCTTTAATCCAGATATCGGATAAATCGGACGAAATCTGAATTAAGCGAGGGACTGTCCGTGTCAAATTTCTGGTTCTGGGATTGTCCGATAGATGGCAAGCATGCGCCAGACCGCCAGTCATTGTTGACTTAGCGCCATACAGTGATCCCTTGGTTAACGAGCGCCTCGGTTAACGAGATTTCGGTTAACGATTTACCTTCCATAAGATTCTTAACTTCGGTTAACGAGCAATCCTCGATTATCGAGTTTCTTACGAGCGGACCTCAACATGTTTTCGCTTGCATTTGGCGGTCCACCAGCTGTAGTATTAGTCCGCCAATACAGTAATCGGTTCTAGGGCTCAAATTCCTTACTAAAACTTACCTCCAGACTTGAACCCCCTGTACCTTGGTAATATAGTCCTCAAACGCGAACAAAATACTAAATTCCTCGGAGTTATTGTTGATGAGAAACTTAACTGGAGAAACCACATACAAGCCATACACAGTAAAATCAATAAACAGTGCGGTATCATGTATCATACTCGACAGTCACTCACTCTCACAGCAATGAAAGAAATCTATCATGATCTTGTTTACCAACACCTGATACACTGTCACACACTATGGGGGGCCTCTGGCTCTTCAAAAACATAATCTCTGGTTACTGCACAAAAGAGAGTTGTACGGACAATGACCTACTTGAAAAAAACAGATCACACAAACGAAAAATTTGCTATATTGAAATTTTTAAAATTCGAAGATATTAACACTTACTGCTGTGCCCTCTTTGTTTACAAATCTATCAATCACTTGCTTGACAATAATTACATCCAGTTCCGGAATAATCAGAGATACAACTTAAGGCACCCAGAGCTACTAAGACCACCCCCCATGCGCTCCTCTCAGTCCCAGACCTCCATAAAATATCATGGTGTGAAGGTGTGGAACAACTTACCCCCACACATCCCAGCAAAGACTACGCTCCCTTCCTTTAAATCACCTCTAAAAAAATATCTATTGTCGAAGTATTAATATTTCTTGTAACACTTACTATATTTACAGTTCCTGCTTTTATTGTACCACCAAATCCATTTTATCAGAAATTATCATGTAAATAAATAAGTAATTACCATTGCAATACACATAATTGCCAACTAGACATAATCCTGAAAGCTCTGTCCTCTTGTTCAACCCTATTACTGCACAACCCATATTGTACTGCTCCCCCATTATACTTATGTTTTTAAATTCCACTCTAATTTATATGTATATGTGTATGTATGTGTGTGTATATGTATATATATATATATATATATATATATATATATATATATATATATATATATATATATATATATATATATATATATATATATATATATATATATATATATATATACACCTAGACCCGACTTACATTACGTGGACTTAAACCGTCGGGACTTACGACGCCTCAGATATACAGTTGTACCCCTACGCGGTCAATAGAACCCAGAAGGTCCGTGTTAAGTGAAATCTGCGTTAAGTGAACAACAGAACATATGGGATTAATTCCAATAGAAACTGGCCGACCCCCAAACTCCACTTTTGAAGACACATAACTATATTGTAGTAAAATAACATCTTAATTTATGATGGTACATACAATTAATACTTAAGAGAAATAGAAATACAGTCGCCAAGTTAATGTCCATTCAAATAATGGACTC